CTTGCCGAGTAAGCCGGACGACTCAAACAGAAAACGGGACAGTACGTTACTTTTGTGAGTCGATTTCATTTCAAATTACGTCCAAATTTGGCCATAGTGCGCATACGAGCCAAAAGTGACGTTATTTTTAAGAGGACGGGTTGATCAAGCAGGACGCGCACCCAGATAGGAAGAGGCTGTTAGCAACATGAAGCTGTATGGTGGCCCTCTGATCGACCATGTAAACAGCTTCAAATGCCTTGGTCGTGAGGGTTCCACTGTACGGTCATGTTGTAGCCAGATTGCAACCCGTTCTCGCACTTGCTTATAGTCAATATTGGCTTATTTAATAAGTGCATATGTGACATACTAATTGGTTGTGAATATTTTAGTTTACCTTGAAAAGCTTCATAGAAAACACCGACCTCACCTAACCTTCTTAGTATGTTAAGATAAGCATCTTATTGCTTCTTAATTGCAATTATTACTTAGCCTATACCATTGATAGGTATATTCCATTCTCACGAAGGTGTGCCTGGCTGATACTCCCAGCGTTAGTACAAATGTGAGAATGGCAAAAATTATGTATTTCTCATATATTAAATCGATTATGCTGCACCTCTGCTTGCTCTAGTGCCTGAGAGAATGCTTGGAGGCCTGGGAAAGATGCAAAATGAAACTGTGAGCATCATCCTTGGATGTCCTGTATAACTAAATTACTAAACATGAGGATGAACATAATATATCATGTGCTAATGATGTAAATCAGGCCTTTGTCGAAGGTCAACATCCCTCAAAATTGTTTACAAAAACTGTAACTGCACTCAGAATATATAATGTTGATGATCTTTACCAAGAGGGCGGGACGATAACGGTATTTCCCTGCACCATGGGACATCTTGAGATATCTTGAGGTTATCTTGAGATGATTTCGGGGCTTTACTGTCCCCGCGGCCCGGTCCTCGACCAGGACTCCACCCCCCAGGAAGCAGCCCGTGATAGCTGACTAACACCCAGGTAACTATTTTACTGCTAGGTAACAGGGGCATAGGGTGAAAGAAACTCTGCCCATTGTTTCTCGCCGGCGCCTGGGATCGAACCCAGGACCATAGGATCATAAGTGCAGCGTGCTGTCCGCTCGGCCGACCAGCATCACCCCTTTTCAAATTATTATCTTCCTTTCCCACCTATTATGATGGTTAAAGAACAACCCATTCTTGGACAGGAAACAAAGTAGAATGCCTTAAGCCAAACTGATGCCCTCTCCCTAATTACTTACACTGATGGCTCCTTGCACCAGTCAAATGGTGTAGCTGGAAGTGCAGTTGTTGTGAAAGTGATTGATGATTGATGAAGATTAAGCCACCCAAGAGGTGGCACGGGCATGAATAGCCCGTAAGTGGTGGCCCTTTCGAGCCATTGCCAGTATCAAAAGATGATACTGGAGATCTGTGGAGGCGCAACAGCACCCTGCGTGACGGGAGATGTCTCCCGGACCAAGTGGTGACCAAGTGGTGTGTGAAAGTGGGAAATGGCTTCTATTTATATGAGTGGGGAGCTCTTATAAATAACTGGGTCTGCACTCTTCAGACAGAATAGCTTGCCATAATCCCTGCACTCAAACTAGTATACGTATCCAAAGTCTACACGTTAAGTGTAAGTGACTCCTTGTCATCCTTGATTGCTCTCAGCTCCCAAAGGCATTATTGTGACGTGCTTGTGTCTCAAGCTCGGCACATATATAATGAGAGACTGATGGAGTCAGTTTGCCACGGGAGACATCTTCCGTCACGCAGGGTGCAGTCGCACCTCCACAGATCTCCAGTATCATCTATTGATACTGGTGATGGCTCAAAAGGGTCACCACTTACGAGCTATTCATGCCTGTGCCACCTTTTGGGTGGCTTCATCTTCATCTTAACACATTCACAAGGGAGACATCTCCCGTCATGCAGGGTGCATTCGCACCTCCACAGATCTCCAGTATCAGCTCTTGATACTGGTAATGGCTTAAAAGGGCCACCACTTACGGGCTATTCATGCCCGTGCCACCTTTTGGGTGGCTTAATCTTCATCAATCAATCATCAATCAGTCAGTTTGCACGGGAGGCATCTCCCGTCACGCAGGGTGCAGTCGCACCTCCACAGATCTCCAGTATCATCTATTGATACTGGTAATGGCTCAAAAGGGCCACCACTTACGGGCTATTCATGCCCGTGCCACCTTTTGGGTGGCTTAATCTTTATCAATCAATCGAGTCAGTTTGTAGTCTGAGGATTTCCTCCCAGATTGCTCCCTGAATGCATGAGAGAACTGATGAGTGAGCCAAAATGTGCTCTTAAAATTGTGAAACTGGCTTCACAAGAAGATTGTTACTTGGCTAAATGAACTATTATGTGCCTCTGTAACCCTTTCCACCACGCCCACGGGATGTGTATGGGGTGCATAATAAATGACTAAAATTAAAATAAAAATTACGAGAGAGAGAGAGGAGAGGAGAGAGTTGTTGTTGTTGTTATAGATTCAGCTACTGGGAACAAAAAGTCCCAAGTAGCACGGGCTATGGTGAGCCCGTAGTGGACTTACCTGGCACAGGAGCGAAGTTGTAACTTTTTTGGAGAGAGAGATGATTGATTGATAAAGATTAAGCCACCCAAAAGGTGGCACGGGCATGAATAGCCCGTAAGTGGTGGCCCTTTTGAGCCATTATCAATAGATGATACTGGAGATCTGTGGAGGTGCGACTGCACCCTGCGTGACGGGAGATGTCTCCCGTCGGAGAGAGAGATTGGGTTTGCCCTCTTATGTTAACAGGACCGTCAGCCCCTGAGGTGGAGAAGGGATTGTGTTCAGACAGGCGCCGCGCCTCAAGACACCACCGCCAGGATCACCACAATCTTCCCAGAACTGTGAGAGCTGCCCCTAAACACCAGCCCAGTATTATGGCTGCCTCGCGCTAAATATAACAGTCTGGTGGAGCACACACAAGCGTTGTGAGGGAGTCTAGGCATCATTGTCTGACGGAATTCTCGCAAGGGATCCCGAGCAAAATAGATTAGTTAAAATGTATGATATGGGTGTGTGTTGGGTGGATGGCAGGCATGTGGAGGTGCCGTGAGTGTGTGGGCGAGTGTGTGGTGAGTGTGTGGTGGTGAGTGGAGTGTGTGTGTACACTTGGGTAGTTTGAATGTGTTGTTGACTGAGTCATTTTCATACTTTATTGCTTATCAGTTTTCAGTGTACTGAACCCTTGCTTAATCATCACTGGATACATAAATATGAGGAACAGTAGTATCATACAACAATTACACGTCATCATTATATTTTCCAGAAGAATTACTCATCATATAATTCATCAGTACTAAAAAGAAAAGAGAGAACACAATTACTGAGAAAAATTAGATGAGAATCATTCGCTTAAAGTTGAACGATAGATAAAAAATCACTATCAAATAACAGACTACGACAAGAAAACTTGATTTAAAGGATATAAAAAGTCAAATGCGCAAAAATATACAAAATAGAAACTATAACGTAAGCCGGACGTAAGCCTATCGGTGGGCCTCGTAGCCTGGTGGATAGCGCACAGGAATCGTAATTCTGTGGCGCGGGTTCGATTCTCGCACGAGGCAGAAACAAATGGGCAAAGTTTCTTTCACCCTGAATGCCCCTGTTACCTAGCAGTAAATAGGTACCTGGGAGTTAGTCAGTTGTCACGGGCTGCTTCCTGGGGGTGGAGGCCTGGTCGAGGACCGGGCCGCGGGGACACTAAAGCCCCGAAATCATCTCAAGATAACCTCAAGATAACGGACCTAACAACACATAGAAGACGACAATTTACGAGTGAATAATTTGGCGATGTGAATAGATTGCAAGATGTTAAAAGGCTTAGTAGATAAGAATTGAAAGTGAGCAGTTCCCTACACCACGAAAGATCAACCCTTAACGTACTACAGGCAAACAGTTTTTAAACAAGAGTTGAGTAACAGTAAAGTAATCCAAACAGAAATATCTGGCCAGTTGAAGGAACACAAATAGAACATCAACTATTCAACCAATGTTGACGGGGTAGCTAGGTGGGAACGACGAAGTTTAGAAGAGTTGTATATTTTTAGTCTTCACTTTCAACTTTCATTTCCTCTCTCGCTGCTGGGCTCGTAAAGAAGAAATCCATAAGCCATTAAAGAGAGGAGTGGAGGTGCCAGAGAGGTCATCAATTGATGGTATTTTTTTATCTTGCGAGTTGGTATCTGAGATAGGCTGGGCAGCCGCCCTGTTGCTGAGAGCTCGGCTCCCAGCCTGGGCAGCCGCCCTGTTGCTGAGAGCTCGGCTCTTAGCAGCAGGTCAAAACGTGTATGAAAACACTGTGGCTTCCTGTCCCCCGACACAGTGAATTAGACCCCAGCCAAGACTATGATCACGCTACACACCACGTGTCCGGTGAAGCCGGCGTGACTGTAGCAACAGGTAAGTTATACTGCAACCCAAGACTGGTGGATTATATTCACGTCGTGTAAGGTGAGGTAATTATGGAGATAGCGTTAAGCCGGTGTCACTACATGGGGGGTACTCTTGCCGGTGTTATTAAGGCCATCCATTCAAGTACGTTGTTATAGATTCAGCTACTCGGAACAAGTTCCAAGTAGCACGGGCTATGGTGAGCCCGTAACTTACCTGGCACAGGAGCGGTGCCGTCTCTGCATTCAAGTATGTTTATTGAGACAAGAAAATACATCTCGAAGGGATAGAGCAGCTTAGTCTGTTTCTATCCCCTAGGCTATCCATTATAGTATACTTATGTGCTGTTGTATTGGCAGGAAATAACTTTATTATGAAATTATTAAGGTGTTGTTAGCGTGCATTATTACTATTATGCTGTAATATGATTTCTTTTTAAGGATTTGCCTATGCTCAGTTTCAAGAGTTTTCTACTCTACGAGCCCGACTTTAGGCTAGAGAACATTATACATTTTGTTGTATAAATAAAGATGCATAATGGATTATATTGTTATTATTGCAGGGGAGGCGGTGGTGGTGCCGCCGCTGGAGAGGAGCTACAAGGCCAGGGTACTGGGCCACTACCCAGACCATGCCCCTACCTCCATGCCCTTCGACCACCATGCTGTCCAGATGGTAAGTACCGTCCTCCTTCTTCCCACTCTCCAGGTTGTGGGAGGTAGATCCCACCTGGTTCGAACCTACGTCCGAGATGATCCCAGACGCGCCTTAATCTGGAAATCCTCTTGGACGTAGGTTCGAAACCTGGTCACGGCCCTTGTGGATTTGTTCATTAGATGCATCACGCTATTGTGATTTATGTGTGTAAGTTCATCGTTCAACTTACCACTGCAACACAAATAATGACACTATTGCAAGTAAACAATCACCATATATTAAATCAACATATTTAAACTGGTAATGCTGTTAGAGCTAAATTAAGGAGTATCAATAACAACTAGTGATATGCAGGCGAGGAGTCACAATAACGTGGCTGAAGTATGTTGACCAAACCACACACTAGAAAGTGAAGGGATGACGACGTTTTGGTCCGTCCTGGACCATTCTCAAGTCGATTGTGGACCATTCTCACAATCGACTTGAGAATGGTCCAGGACGGACCGAAACGTCGTCGTCCCTTCACTTTCTAGTGTGGTCTGGTCAACAGCTAGTGATATGATGTGCCCGCGTCTCTGATACATTTTGGTGATGTCAAGCACATCACACTCAGGGATTTTGGGCAAGTCTCTTTACACTTGACAATTACACAAATTTTGTTATAGTGTCTGCTTTTTAATTGGTGGGTTAATTCACACTAATTATAAAGACAAAAGGTAAATTTTATAAGCCTGCCATCGCTAAATATAGCGGTTCATTATACTCTGTCCTCACGGTTATGTAGCAATTCCGGCTGTTCTCTACATATACACAATCGTGGGTTCCCCCCTCTTTAATCCCTACTATTTCCCCCCCTCCTCTTTCCCCCTCCCCCCCCTCTTTCCCCCTCCCCCCCCTCTTTCCCCCTCCCCCCCCCTCTTTCCCCCTCCCCCTCCTCTTTCCCTCCCCTGATGATTGATGAAGATTAAGCCACCCAAGAGGTGGCACGGGCATGAATAGCCCGTAATCCCAACCCTCTTTCCTCACATTCCCGCACCTTTTCCTCCTTCCCCCGTCACCCCCCCCCCTCCTTTTGTCCTTCCCTCCCCCCCTCCCCTCTCCAGCTCACCGGTGACGGGGGAGACCATTGTAGAGTGGAAGGTGAGAGCCTGGAGCAGCGTGCAGGGACTGTCAACACACCCGACACGCTTTCTCGACCAATAACATTTAGAGAGAGTTATGGAGAGATTCCATGATGTGGGGGGGGGGGGGGGGCACATTACATGGCCGTCTATCTGGGGTCTAGTCTGTGTTGGTTCCGGGGATTAATATATCCGTGGTCCGGTCTCTGACTAGGCCTCTTTGTTGGGGATCTGGTTGGCCAGGGTGTTAGGCGCCGTTAGCCTAAACTGGCTATACAATAAAATCCATTTTGTGTGTGTGTGTGTAAGTAACTCCGACTAGGCCTAGTAAATAATATTGGTCTGTGTCAGGTGTGTGGGTTATCTGGAGGTTATCTGGAGATGATTTCGGGGTTTTTAGTGTCCCCGCGGCCCGGTCCTCGACCAGGCCTCCACCCCCAGGAAGCAGCCCGTGACAGCTGACTAACACCCAGGTACCTATTTTACTGCTAGGTAACAGGGGCATAGGGTGAAAGAAACTCTGCCCATTGTTTCTCGCCAGCGCCTGGGATCGTACCCAGGACCACAGGATCACAAGTCCAGCGTGCTGTCCGCTCGGCCGACCGGCTCCCTGGGTGGGGAAAGCTGAAGCTTTTGAAATTTAGCTTTTGACTCTCTCGTGTGTGAATATACAGGAGTGAATAGATACGGTGAGGATAGAGCGGCAAAGATCCAGCTTGACTGTGGTTCTGTCTGCTTTAACCTGACGCTTGATTCCCCTCACTACCACATGTGCTCAGGTCTCGCTCTTCTCGCTATGTGAAGGTGAAGGTTATGTTGAGGGTTATGTTGAGTATGTGTGGGGGGAGGGGGGGGGTGTTTGAGGGGGTGTGGGAGGGTTCGGGGGTGAGTGTGTGTGGGGGAGAGGGAAGGGAATTCTCATGGGAAAGGGCCAAGCCATTACGACTATATAGCACTGGGAAGGGGTCAGGATAACCTGATTCTTATCCTGACCCCCTTCCCAGTGCTATTTAGATTGATTTACCTAAATAATGGGTAGAAATGGGTGAAAACTATTCCCCTGACACGGAGGTGCAGTCCTTCAGTGAAAGTAGTCAGTCACCAGACGGGATACTGTGCTGTGTTGCACATAGGGCGTGCTGTGTTGCACATAGGGCGTGCTGTGTTGCACATAGGGCGTGCTGTGTTGCACATAGGGCGTGCTGTGTTGCACATAGGGCGTGCTGTGTTGCACATAGGGCGTGCTGTGTTGCACATAGGGCGTGCTGTGTTGCACGTAGGGCGTGCAATCAAACTTAACCTTGAGAAGGGATTTGATTACAACAGTTTTCGACATCAAATATAACCGGTGTTGCTAGCACGTAACAATTTATTAAGGAGAGAACGAATCACCGATATATCCTTGATAATTATTAAGAGTTTATTGAATAAATTTGACTGTACATGTTTGGGGTAGATATTACGTTCAAAATGTATCGAGACAAAGCTAACAATCAGAGAGACGTGTGAACGTCTTAAAATTTTGAACACGGTTAATGATTCACTTTTGCATTAGACCACAAGGAAATAAATATAAACTGCAGAAGGTCTATTGGTACATATGAGAGTAATTCTATTTACATCCATCCGGACCTTAACTACCATTGTAGTAATTAATGGAAGGTACCGATGCTCAGGAATCCCAAAAATCTTTTATGTAAACACATTGACTTGTAACATTCTTGTACATAAGCTGGTCGAGCCGGTCGGCCGAGCGGATAGCACACTGGACTTGTGATCCTGTGGTCCTGGGTTCGATCCCGGGCGCCGGCGAGAAACAATGGGCAGAGTTTCTTTCACCCTATGCCCCTGTTACCTAGCAGTAAAATAGGTACCTGGGTGTTAGTCAGCTGTCACGGGCTGCTTCCTGGGGGTGGAGGCCTGGTCGAGGACCGGGCCGCGGGGACACTAAAAGCCCCGAAATCATCTCAAGATAACCTCTCAAGAAGAAGCTATAGAGATGGTAAGAGCCGACATGTGAGGTGTTATCATTTACGTCCAGTATTACGAGTAGGACTCGAGAGAAGACGTCCCTTATCACTTGGGCTTCAGGGTAAAGGGAGAGCACTTCTGCAGTCTAGCATCTCTAGCCGTGCACCCATACAAGTTTGAAACGGCGGGTTAGATTAGGCAATCACTTGGATGCCTCGCACTCTAGATATCAACTTCCAGTGGGGCTTCACAAACCCAGATATAGTAAGTGCGTAGTTTTTTTTTCCAGGGATATTCCTGCGCGGGCCCTAAGCCTCTGGCTGGCCCACTAAGTGTTGCTTGTTTCTGTTTTACTTGGGCGGAGTATGAGTATTTATTACTCGTATGGTCGTTTCAGTAAGATTTTGCCATATGTGTTTAACAACTTCTTCTGCTCTGTTGAATCTAAGTTGAAATCTTAATGGGTTTGTAACTGTGCACTGTGTTAGATGATGTTCCAGTGGTCTGTCGGGCATTTCTCCACGTGCGTTCGTTAGTCGCATCGTTCATCATACACCGCATACACCTTCGTTCTTTCCGCATGTGGCTGTATAAACATAAGAAGACCGTTGTAGTTGGACACTGAGGATAATAGCTTAGTGGTGGTCAACCCAGGTCACCGAGGATTTAAAGGGGAAAGATCCTGCCTTCCACAGATACTCAACCACCTATGACAAACTCATGGAAGTATTAGAAGAAAAAAAAAATTGTAGACGTTTTATACTTTGCAGTGAAATTTGATAAATGTGACCGTGGAGTGATAGCTCAATTAATTATTATTAATAACAGGTAAAGTAAGGCGATGGATATTAAATTTCCTGTCAAACAGGAAGCTGATCTCAATAAAATCTTCGAGTGGACAACATAAAATACAAATATTTAACCGTGATAAATTCCAGATATTTAGGCATGAAAAAATGAATTACTTAAATGAAATATAAATTACAAGATGCCATCAGATCTCATCATGGAAGGTAAACGTGTAAAGGATCTGAGAATAATGTCACATGACCTTAATCGTATACCCAAACAAATATAGCATCAGCCAGAACAATAATAAGATGAATTATGAGACCCTTCAAATCCAGGGATGCCACTCTAATGCTGATACTATTCAAATCACTTGTGCTTTCTCGCCTTGAGTACTGCTCGGTACTCGCTTCAGAGTACCGAGCAGTACTCTGAAGGGTACTTAACCTTCAGAGCAGGGGATAGTTCTGAAATGGAGGTAATATAGAGAACATATACGACACATAAACACAGTTATAAACCTAAATTATTCGGGCAGTTTCAAAGCTCTCAAAATGTACTCTAGAAAGGAGACGAGAGTTATCACACATCAACACATTGGCGCGAACGAGATGGGAGGAAATGCAGAATAGACCCAGTGAAGAGGTGTTTATAGGCACAATCAGAATAAATGCTCATTGGGTCAAGGGTTCGAGTCTTCTCGGGGCCCAAGTGACTCAAACACAGAGAACCCTGTATGAACATCAGAGATCTACGGCGATCAATATCCTTCCTAGAAGTACAAGAAACGGTGCCCGTACAAAAGTGGACGTGTTCAATAAAAATAGACAAGTTACTGCAAAAACTGCCGGATTAACCGGGTTTCATTGTATATGTGGGTATTGTGGGCCTGCGGGCCTAGCAACATTATGGGCTATTCATGCCCGTGCCACTTCTTGGGCGGCCTAATCTGCATCAATAAATCCAAGCAGCGGTCTGGTGCAGCAAGCGGTCTTGGCGAGTAGTACTCCCATTAATCACTCCAGATATTCAACTGTATTCCCTGTTTATCCTCTTCTCCCCGTGCACCCTCTTCTCCTCACTTACTCCTCTGCTGTCCAGTTACCTGGTGTGGCCTTTGAGTGGCCCCCCAGCAAC